TTATGTTGCCTCTCTGGACTACCATATATTTTGCACTAAATTTAGTCTGGCACCATTTGCAGTCATCAGCCGACATTTGAAGAAGAAAAAAGTGAAAAAAAAAGAAGCCGCGTCTCACACCGCTTTTGGGGCAAGCTCTCCATACCAGAAACTGGAGACTCTTTTTGGGGCCTAATGTACTATTTTTCCTCCATGTGATTATGTGAAGTAAACGTACCAAACCGACCAATAGAAATTAGTTTGAAGTCATTTTCAGTGACACTTGAATGGCAAATTGCAAAGTTCAGCGGTAACAGGGATAAGGAAATGTAACACTTTAGACCCTAATATAAACTTATTTACATTCAGCACATTGCACCGGGCCGTAGCAACATCAGGCAGAAATTTACATATTTTTACTGCTCTATGAACATACAAAAAAACACCAAAACACCAAAACAATTCCATTCATCTTTAATATACATGTAAGTGATTTGATGATCATCAGATATTCAATGCTGTAATGCTAGTATATGCGTTCATGATCTATATATATAAGAGAGAAGTTTACTCGCCCCCGAGACGATGTTTGCTCATGAAAGGATCCGAGACCGCGGGCTCACGCGGCGCCAAAATCGCTCCACGTCCGTGGAAAAATGCGGAGGGTGTCTTCCGCCGGGTCGGACACTTCGGGTCGTCCTAATTTTCCCGTACGGACCGGCGATCCGTTTCGTCGATTTTTCGTGACTGCTTTTTGCGCAGGAATTTGCCGTCGTGTGTGCTTTCACGTTGACTGCCTGGCCGCCCCCTGTCCTGGCTTTTTCTGCGTGTCTAGACTGTGCGAGGTCAGCGAGGTCAACGTAGGGGTTGCGTTTACGTGTTCTACTCGGCCCTTCTGCGAAAGCGTTCACCAAATTGTGGATGGGGTGACCTTGGTAAAATATTTTTTCTCCATGGTGCGTGGCCACCAAGTGCTCCTATTCTTTCATGTGCTTCGCTTGCCGCCCCTGCGCCGAGTGCAACGAATACTCAGAAGGACTAGACATTAAGTATGCCTTGCGCGGTCTGACCAATCGAAAGTCTACACTGCGTAGTATTTCCGGGCTATGCAAAACTGTCGATGGCAACGCGTACTGCAGCCTGCTCCACACCCTGAAAACGAGGTTGGGTCTACGGTGCTCGCTATTTGAAGCGCAAGCATGTGACGTGTAGAGTGCTGTTGCTTCCATAATGTGTTTACAGCTCCATGCTTCCACCACCAAGGCTGAGCGTTGTGAGTTAGCTGCCCGCCACGTATAATCATGGAGGAATAAGAATTCCTCCATGGTATAATTCAGTGTCGTGTTATAATTTCGGGGGCCTGTTTTGGGTCAACGAAGGATCGCCGCGGTCTCGGATCCTTTCAGAAGCAAACATTTCTCGGAGGCCGAGTAAAACTTGCTCTTATATATAGATGGTTGAACCAACTTGAATAAAAGTTGAATCGCAGACGGTCTCGCAAATTGTAAGAAGTTCAAGTTTACGTTTGTTGAAGAGTCCAATACTGAAACTCAATTATGACCTTCCTCCATGATTCAGACCGTTTGTATTTTTTTGTTAACACTCAACATTTTCATTTTAAATGACACCTTCACGTTTTATTGCATTATGATTTATTGTCCAACTGTACAACCACCCTTCGCCTGTGTACTTCAGTAACCTTTTCACTACGTTTTCCAAATGCGACTGCCTCTCAAAAAGCCAATTTAACAGACCAACGGCAACATACAGACCGACAGTTGCCATGGTACATAATTATCATGTGCGTAAATCAACGGGGGACAGGGGACCCCCCCCCCCCCCCCACACACACACACATTTTGAGGGGGGACATTGTTTGGTCTCCCCCCCCCCCCACACTTTTTCTTCCCCGAATAAAATATTGTAGCCTACAATAATGATTCTATTGCTCAGAATACATGTAGCTGATTCAATTACTCAAAACTCCAAACTTTCACAGATGATCTTTTGCTCAAATTGGTTTTAGTGATCAGAAATTGCCTCAGATCACACCACAGAAATTGCTATTCTTTAACTGCATGTCTCCCCAACTATATCCCCCATTTACATTTAACTCCCCACATTTTCATCCCCAACACTATACGCCCTACCCGATCTATGATCGGGTAAACCAGCTTGTTACACAATATTTGCCTAACAAAATATATTTGCTCTGTCAAATTTTGTTCGGTCGGTGACAGCTCCAAATTGACAAAATTGTGCATTATATACAAAATTGCATGAAATACAATCCATATTGCAAGGTATACTATTCTGGGACAAGTTGTAGACAAAAAATATTTTTTTGTTCAAACTTTACAACTTAGATTGTGGTTATCTTTCATCAGTGCTCAGGGAAAAAAAAACAAATACCAAATGGATTTTTCAGTAGAGCCTGGATATATACATGTACAACACCAGGTTTAAAGGGAATGTACAACATTTGCTTTAGCTGCAATTTTCAGAAATAAATGGGTTTGGAGGATTAGTATGTTATAGCAAATACTGTTAAAATTACTTTTTTCACGTTTTGAGCTTGTAGGTGCTGGAAAAACCAAGAAAACCAATCATGTCCTTGTAGTCTGGTTCCCTGACCCCACTGAAGATAAAACGGAGCAATTTAGAGACTTTGGGGAATTTTAAGGTCAGAGAATCAGTCTAGCTGGCTTATACCTCTTCACAGGTGTGTAATGAATTGCAAAGAAAATGCTGAATAACTAAAAATGAAGAATTAGGAGCAGTGTTCGAAAAAAAAGCCAGTTTTCTCCAACGCTGGTCGGCCGACCAGCGTTGGAAAAATACCATTTTTCTTGAAACTGTTAGCACACCAGGAGCCACGATTTTACTGGATGCTTTAGACTGTCATTCCCTAACAATCCAATAATTTATTTCGTGACAATTTGATCATTTCGTTTTTCGATGTTTGCAAATGTTGTATCTTCCCTTTAACTCACCCAAAATTTATCTAAAATTTTACTCAACCCATTTGGCCAAAAAAAAGTCTCTGGTTTCTGGTATGGAGCTTGCCCCAAAAGTGGTACAGCGACGCGGTTTTTAAAAAAAGTTTTACCCATCTTTTTTTTCTCTTCAAATGTCGGCTGATATTGCAGATGATGTTTTGATCCCCTTAAAACTCTCAAAATATCCTTCAGAGTGCAGCTTGAGGTGACCTCAGTAAGGCCATAAGGCTTGAGAAGTATATTGAGCTAATTAAAAAGCGTTTACAACCAACCAAAATTACAACACCGTCTGCAAATGGTGCCTGACTAAATTTAGTGCAAAATATATTGGAGCCCAGAGAGACCACATCAAGCTTATACTCGATCGTAACCCCATCTAAAAACACGTTAAAATTGTGCAGCAGCAGGATTCCAGTCAAACCAGTGAGTTTGGCCGTTTTGAGACATCATCTTGGGCAACGCTGCCTGCGCATACCAGAAACAAATACTTTTTTTTTGCCTTAAGGCATCTACTGCAGGAAACTGCCTGGCTCAATACTCCCTGTAAGGCCCAAAACCACCTGAGCATGCTCTGTGGTTTTATGGATTCTTCAGGGAATGAATACAATGTAATACACTGTAATACACTATTACAATGTAGTACAGGTGCTAAGAGTTGGTATAACTTTATCAGACATTCATATCCCATGGCACAGTGTCATTATAAAGGGGGAAAAAAGGCACATTGTTGAGATTTCTTTGAAAATATCAGGAAATATTCCTGTTTTCCGACTGTGTCAGACAAGAAAAAAATAATCTAAACATCTGTTGAGCAGAAATGCTTATATGGTATGATTTCTTTGAAAGCCTCTTTACTGCTGCATACATGTACACGTATGTGAACATTGCACACATATTGCCCTGTTTTTCACATGAAATGCAATTTTTTAATGACACCCCTGTTTCTTTTAAATTTATGGACACAAACAACTCAAACTAGGATTTCCTGGGCAACATAAATGTATACTTTGTGTTTTTAACCAGCACCATGTTTGATTTATCACTAGGAAAAGAATACTTTCCTTTTCTCTTTCTGGATATTCATCATTTTTAGACCACTCTAAAAATCCAAATTGGCAGCTCCCTGGAAATAACCATATAAACAGAAACTTGGTCCATAAGATTTGTAGTTGTAGTTGTAGTTGTTGCAGTTTCTGTAACGTTAACATGATGGTATTTTACGGGATGGAGTTGTTACCATTACACCCTAGCCCCAACCTAGAGGACCAGGTGCTGAATTTAGGGCTGTGCATTGGAACTGGTTACCCGACCTTTGATGTCAGGAACCGGTTGCAGATTATGGGGTCTGGTACCTGTAACCAGCTTTACAAATTACTTAGTAACTTCCAAGACAATGAAAAAGAAAGGTTTTCAATGTCATTTGTGGGAAATTTTCAAAATGAAAAACCAGGCTACATGAAAAAACAAACATGCCCACGTTTATGACGCTTGCGAAAAAGCAATTTACAGAGCCAGCTAAAGAGCTCACTGATCAATTCAATTCAATTCAATTCAATTCAATTCAATTCAATTCAATTTGACTTTATTATCCCTGATGGGAAATTCCATTGGCCTTTTACATTTAAACGCTAACCCTATTAACAGTCCTGAATCCTCCAATGTCAATATAATTTTGCACACCCCCTAGGGAGTTAGAGTTAATTGAACACTTACAAAATTACAAATAATAAATAATATTACACAAAAAACACAATACATGTACTTCACTTGTATTTTGCTGTATCGAAGCACTGATGTACATAGTATGGTCGTGTATTATCGTGCGGACCTTTATGAACAATCTGAACGGTAACTTCCAAGATTTGAATTTTGGGGTTGGGTTTCTTTAACGGGTAACCGGGTACCCATGTTTTTTCAATCGGGTACCCGATTCCCGGAGTACCCGTGAATGCACACCTCTACCCTAACCTGGAGGACCAGGTGCTGAATTTTGTCTGGCCCCTTACCAGAAACCTGCCCCACATGGTAGACCCTGCGGGGAGCCTTAGCTTTATCAGTATCGCCTTCAGTGTCATCGGAGCACACAATCCTCTCCATCACGACAACGTAATAAACAGCATATGGAGAAGATGATTAATTTTCTAAACCATTCTAAAAATCCAACGTTACTCATCCCTGGAACTAACCATAAACAGAAACAAATTTTCCAGAATTAAAATAAACAAAGAAATTAAGGGGGGGGGGAATTATTCCTAAAAAAGCAAGAAATAAATAAACAAGACAAACTGCATTCATTGTCAGATCAAATTTACTTCATGTTACAAATAGTCTTCACATTCACAGATGTATGTTTTCAAATGACACAGCTATAGCTAGTGCGTGATTTATCGGGTGAGTTTTGTTTTGGTCGTGGAGAATAATCTAGTCGGTGGATCTCGGTGATGAGTCACGGCAGTCTGTTGCCGCTTCCGTCACCCTCGGCTTATTGTCCTCACACCCTTGTCCCCGCAACGTTCACACAATACGTTACAAGTCAAACGCAATTAGGGTTCCCCCAAACGCTGCTAGCTACAGTACGTATGCGTAGTCCATAATCTTGGTGTCTTCGCTGAACTAGTCTGCACAATTAACATTTGGTCATAATTTTTCTTCGGCAAGAATTTGACAATAGAAGGTTTTGGTTTAGGTGTTTTTTTTGTTTTGAAAGCTTGAATGAAGCAGATTGACTCAATCCGGCTGGCAAACAGCCAATTTCCGCGATAATTATTCGTGCCTCGGGGCGGATTAAAGCGCCTGTTCTATTTTGGGCCCAAGTGGCGGGCACGACTTGGCAACGTAAGCAGCGATAACCCCTTCCCCTGCAGCGTCTGCCCCCGGGCATCTGCAAATCACCGATTTGTCAATGTTTCTCAGCGTAGGAGACACGAGGAAGATTGCCGCGACATACAATGTGCTTGTAATCTGATCCATCAAAGAGAGGCTCTCCTACTTCATAGATGCAAAATATTGCTCCTTCATGTTCTCTGGAGTCTTGTATCACTTAAACTTGCTTTTCACATGGAGATTTGCTGGGTATTCAATACCAAAGATGTGAAATATTGATAAGATCATATATTGTTTTCAAGGAATTTTTGTTTTGCTGTGGATGTGAAATGTTGGTGCGAATGGATTGATTTATTACCATCTGAAATGCCTGAAACTCCCACAATTCTAGATTTCAGACATGTCATGAAGGGGCACTGATATATGGAATTCATTCATTCAAACAAAGAGGTTTAAGACATTTAAGGTTTTTAGTTTTACCGAAAAAAATTCCCTGGATTTTGTGAGTGATTCTGTAAAGTTGTGGGAAATTCAGTTTTGCTAAATGTTTCTGGAAGTGAACTTTTGTTCTGATTTCAACCATGACTGTCCCAAACCTTTTCTTTGAACCTATCTTGGAAGTAACTGTGGTTTTGTTTATTTATTAAACCATTCAACTTAAACAATAATTGTATTTTTTTCGCCACGTAGATGGTGACAGAGAAAAAGGACAAGAATCTTTGCATTACTTGTGGCAGTAGAGAGGTTTTTGCATATTAATGGATAAGTGTACACATATGTATAGCTATCGTAACCGCAAAGGTGTCAATCACTTCTGAAAAGTGGGGGGGGGGGGGGGGGGGGGGGGGGACATACCTCGATCAGAACTAATGCGAGCGCGAAGCCCTAATGGCGTGGATTCTAGACACTGTGGATTTTGGATTCTAGACGCTCTGTGGTACAATCTGAGGCAATTCCTGACCACTTTAACCATTTTTTTTTTTAGGAAAAGATTATCATTTAAACATCATTTTCGAGTTTGGAGTCATTGAATCAGCTATTCTGAGCTATAGAATCATATAGGCTGCAATTTTTATTCGGGGACGAAAAAAGTGTGGGGGTTGGGGGGACAAACGATTTGATATCCCCCCACTTTAAAAAGTGGGGGGACTTGTCGTCCGTCCCCCCCCCCCCCGATTGACGCCCATTCGTAACCGTTATCGACCATTCTGTTGTTTTGTACTGTGTACACGTACGGAAACACATTGTTTACGGATCCGTTACTAATCCAAAATGGCAGCGTCCAATGAAAGCATCGTGTCTGCGGCTTATCTTGCTTTAAAACGCAGACAAATGGCCCAAATTAAGTTCGTAAATGCTGAAATAAATGAACACAGAAGAGCGTGATATACACTGCTAAAAATGATGTTCTTACATTTCCTAAAATAAGGGAATAATTCTTGTTTCATGAAATATTTTGTTGTTTCACTCCCTAGAAAATGTTTATAGGGAGTGGCACGAACATTTTTTTTGAAATAAGATTTTGTCTAGTTTTAAGAATACCATTTGAGCAGTGTATGCATTTCATACTGACACTAGTGATATATCTATGCCATGTGCATGCGTAGCGGATAGTGAGGGACGCGTGACGTCACTAGACAAACAGTCCTTCTGATTTGAGGCGTGCGATCGCACCCCCGTGCCATCGCATGCCTAAAAGCTTCCCGAGAAGTGCGAATAATCGCACGCCTGAATCCCTCTGTACCGCACACCTCGGCATACATTTACAGACAAATTAATATAAAAGTTTGGTAGGAACTGGGCAACAAACAACATCCTTCTGTGAGCTCTTGAAATGACTTTACTGTAAACCAAGATGAATATTATAAAAAAATACCAGATTGTTCTAGCCAGCTTCTACCACAGAATCACACTCCTAGAAAAATCACACACCAAGAAAAATCACACGCCAAGAAAAATCACATGCCAAGAAAAATCACACGCCAAGAAAAATCACACGCCAAGAAAAATCACATTCCAAGAAAAATCACACGCCAAGAAAAATCACACGCAAAGAAAAATCTAGGTGTGCTTTTTTCCCACACGCCTTTGATGTTCAATCAGGACTGGGCAACACAAACTGATGACATATCTGGCAGGCTAACTGTATCTGTTCGCTTGCAAAACATCTGTATTTGTTTAAACTAAACTGATTACTCTTGTATTTTTTTTTCTGCGTAGATGGTGAAAGAGAACAAGGACATCAAGAGAAAGAGCGCGGCCTTCCTGTCCCGCGCCGGGGAGGATCTGGTGCGTCAGTTTGAGCTGTCGCTGGACGAAGGCGATGAGGAGGAAACCGAAAACGGAGCGGATCCGCACCTGGTGAAAGAACTCACTGCAAGAATAGAAGGTGCGTTGCTATGGTAACCATGTGGAAATTTAACATTCATCATTTGCGGGAATAACGGATGCGAAAGCAGATTGTATGTCAAGAAACAGTTGTGGCAGAATTTGTCAGTGCGGAAATGCGGTCAATTTTTTTTGCAAATTAGAAGTGCAAACATTTGTCATGACATCACATCATGCAAGGGAGGTGGCTTCGTCCCTGTCACCTGCTTTGTGGGCATGTCGACCACTTTAGGGCAAGTCACCTGCAGCGCAGGTGCAACGCAGGCGAATGTGTACTTCGTGGGTAATGTCCTGCTTTGTGGGCAATCAACTTGTGAACACACACCCACACCCAGTCTTGTTTCGTAGTTGTGGGGACATACACTCGTCTGTACGAGGTATTTGCGGGGACCGAAAATGCTGTGGAGACAGCAGAAAGTCCCCATGACTCGGTCCTAATTTAAAATAAAAAACTTCCCCTTAAAAATTTTTCCCCATAACGTGGTGTAGGCCTGCATACATAATATGATGAAAACAGCCAGGTTTTTGCCAAAAAGACGTGCACCCAAGTAATTGTGTAAATGGACAACCTTTTATTTTCTGTCTCTTGCCAGATCTCAAAGATCAGCTGATAGCGAGCAAGCGTGACCTGGAGCAGGTCCTGCTGGAGCGGGATGAGGCCAGGGATGAAGTCCAGGGAATCTCCGATCAGGGGAAACAGTTTGCCGAGCAGGTAAGATCCATGGATGGGGTGCCAAAAATGAAGAATTGGGACATGATTGAGCTGTAGGCATGTAAAGGCGCCTTTGGCTGCCGCCATACGACCCATGTCTGACCACGGAGCGCAGCCAGAGATCAAAAGTGTTTGATTTTTGCAGAGGGAGGAAAACCGGAGAGCTCGGAGAAAAAAACCTTGTGGCACAGGAGAGAATCAATGCACAACTCTACTCACATATGGTCCGAGCTGGGAATCGAACCAGGGCCACAGTGGTGAGAGGCGAACGCTTATACGCACTAGCCACCCATGCCACCCTGGTAGGATCCGGATCACAAATCAGAGAATGATACAAACTTCTTGACTAGTTGTCTTGTTTACTTGTAGTTACTTCTGGAGAGGCAAGGCCATGAAGCGACCAAAGCCTCCATGGAAGCAGACAGAGTTGCCCATGAAACCATGAAGATGGCGCTGGAGGAAAAGATACAGACCATTGCACAGTTCAGGAGAGGTGAGTTTAAGGTTGTGCTTTCCTTGAAAGGCGTTTTGGAGCAAACGATAAATAAATAACTTGGATAGTATTATTCAAGAAGTACATAGAAGTCACTTTTTTTTTCTTTTTTTTACACAAGACAAAGACAATGAAGGCTTCTATTCCTTTCAGAAATCACTTGATGACTACTTAATGATCAGGTGTTAGTAGCAAAAACAAGTTTAAGCAATGATGTTGTTTCAAGATCAGTGCTTACCTCTGTCTCAAGTGGGCATCACAGCGAACCAAGATATTCGCTTGCTGTACACAAACAGTTCCAGAAAACAACCACCATTGTTTTGAACGGTTGTTCACAGAGAGCAACCCTCCTAAAAATTTAAAATAGGCTAAACTTTAGGGTGCACAAAATGTAAGTATCATAATAGGTTTGGATTGTATGACGTCAAATTACAGCTTGACGATCCAGTTTCCCCATGATCGGCCACCATTGCTGTAGGCAAGCAATTGGTTAGCAACCACGTCGTGCGTTGTCAATTAGACAGTAGGGCTTATTTTCACGTAAATTCTTTATCAAATGGTATCATGGTCACTGATGCTGTGTCATAATCGTGCCAACTCCACACTGGGCGTTGGCTGAACATTTTTCTCACAGTTTTTGACATCCATCACAGTTTTTAAGGCTTGCCTACTGCCTACTTTGAGCGGCGCTGAACGGTCTTTGCCTACTACAATGGCCACTCTGACTTTCTGGTACCCGGATGTAGGCATGTGGGTCAGTGAGACCCGTCTATAATCATATATAAAATCAAGCAATTGCTTCAAAGTGGCAGACTGGTACTAGCAGTTTACTTTTTGGAAAGGTCAACTCAGCCACAGACTAACATCATTGAAAGCAAGTTCATATCTTTTGCCAATTTCAAATTAGAAAATTAATTTTTCAGTGGTTTTGGAAATGTATATTTCTCATTCTATACAACTATACAAATGCACAATTTGTTTCTTCACAGTTTCGACGGTGGTGTTCCAGGAGCTGTTTGAAGTCAAAGGCAAGTACGAGGAGGAAGCCATGCTCAGAGAGAAAGCTGAGAACTTTGCAGCACAGGTGAGAGAACTCAGTGAAATATACAACTTAGGCTAAAAGGCAACAAGGACAATGGTGTGTAAAAAAGGGGGCGTAGTTTGATCAGAAACATCAGCAATTCAGTGAAAAAAAAATTGGAAGTTGAAAATATTAAGTGAAACAAAAATATTAATCCAGCTAGGATTGAAATGTAAGGCACTCTGTTTTTTTCATTTTGTATATTTCAGGGCAGTCCAGTCAGTTAGCTGTTTGGAAAAGGGTTTTTTTCTGTGTCATTTTTCTAATTTTAGTTTTGTCTTTTTAGTTTTCCTTACTTTTCTACTCGCAAAGGGGAAGGATGGGTACAGTTTTGGAGAATTTGGAGAGTTTCCGTGTAAACTTGCTAAGGGGATTTAGTGTTAACCATAATTCTTGTGCCAACTTGCTGTCGCAGATGTACAAGGAGAGGCAGGCAGCCGACGCTCACAAGCGTCAGAGCATGCTGATGTTGAACGAAGCCATCGGCCCGGACGAGAAACTAGAGGAAGTCTTGAGAGAAGTGGAGCAACTCACCAAGACCCTGGCCGATGAGAAACAGAAGCACGAGAAGGAGGTAGGTCTGTGTGAAAGTCCTGTGCCCTGAAACCATTCACAGAAAGCAGTGTTGTACACTTCCATGATTACGAGTGTGTGGAGTGCCGTGGCCTTGTGGTCTGGAGCATTGAGTTCATGGTCTGCGGGTAATTCTGCAGATAGTGGGTTCGAGTCCAGCCTGGGGTTATAGTGTGTGTGCCCTAGGGGAAGGCACTTCGTCACTCATTGCTCTGCCCACCCAGCAGTAAATTGGGTACCTGTGAGGGCAGAGATGGTTATTGTGATTGATCTTAGCTGCTAAAAATAGACAACTTACATGTACGTGAAAATCGACAACTTACTATGTGTTTCACACTGATGCTTAGCGCACGACATATCCATGCAGTGTACACCCGTTGCGGATAGCGAGCTGAGTTTGACGTCGCAAGACCAGACAAAGGGATGACCTATCTGACGCTCTAACCGTATCCGTTTGATTGCGAAACCTTTCTAACGACTGGTCTCTGTACTCCTCTGAACGATTGCAACACATGATCTTTCAACTTAGTTGTTTCTGTTTCAACTGTTAACTTTTTATGTATGTAGTTCAATAATTTAGGTCAATTGTCTCTGGAATGCCAGTCTGAAATGGGACGGAAAAAACTAAATTTGTAACCAGGAAAAAAAATACTGTATCTGTATCCCAGGTGGCACAGATGCAAGCCAATCTCCGCGAGGCGGGAGACATGGATCACCTTGACTCCCTGGAGACGAAGCTGAGCATCGCCCGGGAGGAGAACGAAGCCCTGGAGAAGAAAGTCAACGAGCAGCTGCCCAACATCCGCAAACTCCAGGACAAGATCGCCGAGCAAGACCTGACCGTCAAGAAGCTGATGGCAGAGCTGGATAAGGCGATGCTCAAGCCCGTGGCTCCTCCCCTCCCCCTCCGCCTCCCCCACCTCCTGTGCCGCAGTCTCCTCTTGAGTAAGTGTTGCTGGTCCCAAAGGGCCGGCCAAGTGTCGTCTTTGTACCTATCTGACTGACCGACCGACCGACTGACTGACTGACTCCCCGACCGACTCCCCGACTGACCAAATGACCAACCGACCGACCGACCACTGCCACTAGTGACTTCGACTGGTTGTAGACGGTGTAGAAAGCCAGGGAGTCGGAATTTATGTGCGCCCATCAAAAATTGACAGTCAGCTTTATAAAATTATTAAGAACATTATGTGTATATGGATTTTAAAGACACAAATTAGAGAGAATATTCCTCGCAGAAACTTACAAAGTGTGCCTTGAGACCACCCACATTTTTGGATTATTCCATTTGGAAAGATATTATTCAGATATCCGGGAAATGATCGAATATTCAAATACTTGGTATATCGGCCCAGCCCTAATAAACATAGCTGCCAACTATTACAATTTTTTTGTAATTATTACAATTTTTGGGGTTAAATTACAAAAATACGAATTGCCACTAAAAAATTACGAATTTCCCATTTTCTACCTAACGAAAAAAAAAATACTTGTTAAGTATCGTTTTTGCCCGAAAACTTCCGGTCGAAATGTAGGCCCTAATTTACGATTTTGGATGGACTGGTGACAAGTCTAATAAGCAATGCAGTCAAGCACCTATAATAGACATCAATGGGGTGTGCACAGTGGAGTACTTGAGGACCAGACTAAAAAAATATTTCAATGGCGTGCATGTGCACCTTGTTTTTATCGCGTGTGGATGTGTGTACTGACTACTTTTCAGTGATGATCGTGAGCACATTGGTTGCTCATTGCCGGGATGAGACCCATCAGTGCAAGATTTTGATCATGGAATTTATTAAGAGTATGGTTGGAAGAATTGGTAATAGAGTTTGAGTTTATCACAACGTCCAGAAAAAAGATAAATCAGCATGCGTTTGCAAGGTATGTTGGCGGGATATTTCTATCGCATACGGTGGCCCTAAAATGTGTGTAAAAACATAGGAACTCGAAACTCAACATCGATAGCATTAGCATGCATCTCGGAAAACTATGCGCACATGTTATTATTGTTATTATTTATTTGACTTCAACAAACAAGTACAGACAGTAAAACAAATTTTTTTTTTATTTATATTATCCTATGGCCTACAGTACATTATTAATCACAACAAGAAGGGTATGCATGCATATGTACGTGTAAACCATGTACTTATACGTGATGTTGGTAAAGCTGGTGCATACACTGTTCATGTACCGCACGCGTTGATTACTAATTTGGATTTTGAAAAGTTTGCATCTATGCGTAGTCCCAGAGACATAAAGACGTGTCATGCTTAGTCTACACATGCCCCTCAGGTTTTTTTTACCAAATCAGAGCCGGCTGATACGCCATCCCAAGACACTCATAAATACTTGCCTACCTCATCTGATTTGCAGAGTCCTTCGAAAGATTATTGGCGTGAGGCGGGCAAACAAAGGAGGAGGGTCAGCCTCCACACAAACAGACGGCGGTGGAGATAAGGCAGGGAGTAAGTATTGTGTGAAAAGCTCACAGACTAGTAGCATGAAAGTAAGCAGACAATGTTGCTTTCAGCAAAGTGAAGGGCCCATGGAGTGAATATTTCTTAGGAACTTATTTTGCGCTACTTTCTAATGGACCTCTGTCTGATGGACCTCAAGAGTTCCTCCACAGTAGGGACGGAGTCCAATTCAGACAGACACGACGGGTCTGGGAGTTGGTCATTGGCTTCAAGATCGATGTCGGGTTCACTGCCACACCATAGTGTTCCGTCCACAGTTTGAGCTGCTGATCTGTGTCAGTGAGGAGATTTCCCTGAAGATCCCTCAGAGGGGCTGCCTTCCTTCCGGTTGAGCCAGTCGCAGTACCGGTTGGGCAAGGATTTCAGTACTTTTTCTTTAGATACTTGTCCTGAAAGCGAGGAAAAAGATCACTAACTCTGATGTGTTTCGTTTTCATCAATTGTTTTTCTCTTGAGTAGAAGGTGATCCCCACCAGAAGCAATACGAGGCCACCATCGATGAGATGATGAACCGAATCAAGAGTGGGCGTGTCAAATTGAAACCAGTACAAACCGAGGTGGGTGGACCAGCGGGAAACTTAAAGATTCATTTCTTGGCCTTTTTTTTCTAAGTTTCATAAAAAAAAAATTAGGTTAATTTTTTTCATTTGCTATTTTCCTAGCAATATAAAAGTTATTAACTTTTGAATGAGTTATCGAACGAAAAAGCACACACCGACGTTTAGTTATTGAATTAATTCTTTATGAGTTTGACATTATTGGCTACCAGACAATAGTTTAACTCTCGCAGGGCGGGTTCATTTGTGTGCAAAATGAAAGCCCTTGTTCAGAGGGTGGAAGACGCCGAAAATCGGAATAAAGTAGATTCTTTGTTAGAGGAAAGATACAACATTTGCAAACATCAAAAAACCAAATGATCCAAGTTATCACGAAATACCTTACTGGATTGTTAGGGAACAACAGTCTAAAGCATCCTGTAGAATTGTGGCCAGCGTTGGAGAAAACTGGCCCTTTTTTTCAAAAACTGCTCCTACGTTTTCATATTTAGTTATTCCGCATTTTCTTTGCAATTGATAACACACCTGTGAAGGGGCACAAGCCTGCCAGACTGATTCTCTGACCTTACAATTCCCCAAAACCTTTGCATTTCCCCGTTTCATCTTAAGTGGGGTCAGGAAACCAGACTACAAGAGCATGATTGGTTTTCTCGGTTTTTCCAGCATCTTCAAGCCCAAAACGAGAAACAAGTCAGTTTAACAATATTTGCTATAAATACTAATTCTCAAAATCCATTTATTTCTGAAAATTGCAGCAAAAGCAAATGTTGTAAATTCCCTTTAAAACAAAACATTCAAATTGAAAATTTGTTAGGAGAATAAAAAAAAATCTATTTATTTGAAGAGCATGGGATATGCATCTTTAAGCCGTGTTCACGTTGGACTCATTTTGGTAAAACTTACTGGGACTGATGTTAACTTAACCAAATTAGGTTCGGTGCGGGGGGACAGTAAATTTCCCAAATTGTCAAGGGTCGACTGTTGATTGTAAGTTTTACAGAGCCAACTGGGTCGCAGAAGATTTACATTGTTAGTTTCAGGTAATGAATGTCTTTCCGCAGGGCAAAATTGATTAAAGTGCGGCATATGGTAGAAATAACCACAGTGAAATGTTAACAATCATTCCTGGTAACTTTTTACAAATTTTATTTTAAAGTCCAATTTTGAACACAGCTTTTGAGACCAGTTCATACTAAACACAACTTCATACTTTAAAGGGAATATACATCATTTGCTTTTGCTGTAATTTTGAGATATGGATGGAATTGGGGGGTTGGAAATATATAGCAAATATAGTTACACTGACTTTTTTGAGGTTTTGGGTTCAAAAATGCTATAAAAACCAAGAAAACAATCATTTTCCTGTAGTCTGGTTTCCTGACTCCATTTAAGAAGAAACAGAGCAGTTTACATACATTGGGGAATTGTAAGGTCAGGGAACCAGTCTAGCTGGCTTGTACCCGTTCATAGGTGTGTAATCGATTGCAAACAAGTGCGATGGTCAATTGGGGCCAGTATTTGAAAAAAAGCCAGTTTTTTCCAACACTGATCGGCCGATCAGCGTTGGAAATTGATACAAAAATACCACTTTTCTTGAGAATGACAGTATACCAGGTGCCATGATTTTACAGGATGCTTTACACTGTCATTCACTAACAGTCCAGCAAGGTATTTCAAAATGATTTGGTAGTTTTATTTTTTGATGTTTGCAAATGATGTATTTTCCCTTTAGTAAAAAAAAAATTCATGGACTTAACCACAAAGGGAAACTGAGCCCCAACCATCTGTATCCTCACAGATCACTTAAAAGATCAACATGACCACTACCTGGAAATCCACAGATTAAAATTACATGTGTCGAAAAACAGTAATAATATCTATTTCCTTGACAAGTTTTAGGAATCTAATTGTGAAGAATGTTGTTGAATTAAAAAAAAGTGTTTTTTTTATATTTTACAGTACCAGAGATGAACCTTAGGCCAAAAAAAAATAAATATTCGGTCTCTGGTCAGACCAAAGTTCCGGAATTGACGCGGCGACGCGGCTTTTTTTTGTATGTTTGTTTGTTTGTTTTTTTCTTCAAGCTTGGATTGTACAGACTTGGTGGGGTACTATTTTGCTTTTTTGGTGTCCTCATGTACATTGGTGTCCTTCATAATTTGCTTTGGTGCTCTCGATCATTTGCCGTGGTGCAATTTCTCATTCCTTAGTGCTCTTTGGTAAAAAAAATTGAGGTGCGGAAATAGAGGGCGCTGTTGGAGCTACCGCGGAACATTTTGAAAAAAAAAAAAGATTGACGCGCATGATTAAAATCGACGCGCGCACTGACCAGAGACCGACTTATTTTTTTTTTGGCCTTATCTCTAACAAATAGACTGGTGCCGGTGATGCATAGCACTCCCTCATCAGTCTGCATGGTAAACCCAAAGGAGCAAGACCAAGATGGAGGAAGATTAATGCTTTGTTTCCTTACTTTTGTTTGTAGGAGAAGACGTTACTGACCAGGAAAGGTCCTGGCTCCATCAGAAACATGAGCCCTGCTATGAGCCAACTCAACGGCATGTTGGTAAGTTAATGTAGATAAAGTCAAATTTTTCTATCTATTTTAAACTCAGAAGATTAAAATTTCAGCGAATATACATGATGAAATCAAATCCTGAGATTCTTGTACACTTATTGAAAAATAGTAAGAGAAATAGATACTGTTGCAGCCAGTGAGCTTTTCATTTTCAATCTGGGCAGGAAACCTCCAATAACTGTAGCAAAAAGATGGGGGGGGAATAATTTTATTCAAATCAGTTTATTTTAAAACTTAAAACAGATACGAAGCCAAGTGATTGAAGCAATAAGACGAGGGCTGAAGCAGAATATTTTGATTTCTGAAGGCAGTAACCCACACACATCCAATGGGGGAGTGGATTCAGCTGCTTCCATGGGCACATGAACTAATGGGCCCTTCCCACTGCAAATAAAGGCATCATACACAGATGCGCGCGCACATGTTGAACATTTGCCAGTCAGTCACGGCTGTGATCAAAACACCATGGGCAGGACTAAATGAATCAGTCTATTGCCAACCATGGCCAATGGACAGATCCATTTATTCCCGACCCATGGTATTTTGACATGCACGCACAAAAGTCTGACATGCATGCATACATGACGCCTGCGGCTGGAACCTGCAGTGTTGCATTGGAGAGGCCCCTGTGTTGTTGCCCACATGTGCAGTGGGTGGGGCCTAGTGGACTGGTCTATTAATTGACCTATCACCGTTTGCGAGTTAGCCATGCCCCTTAGACAACCCTTATGGAGGCACTAAATTTTGTTTGTCTCAGATTTTGCGCGTTCCGCGTCCATTTGTATATCATGTAATTAGACAATATTTCACAAGCTGCGTTGGCGCGATTCTCATGCGATTCTACCATGATAGGTCAATTCTTGACATGTCCAAACCTTTTTGGTGTACGGATGGTAGAGAGACCCTTGAAACCTGAATTTCCCAAATTAAATAAATGATCCTTTCCCAACGCAGACCGTGCTAAAGAAGAGAGGACATCACGGTGACGCTACCGCCGGGTCAGACGGTTCTGCCCAGGGAGCCCCTAGCCCCGAGCTGGCAGCCATCATGCAGCGGCGGAGGAAAAAGACAGAAGAAATTGTCCTGGATAAACCGGCTGTTGGAGAAACCCAAGACGGGGCCCAGTCTGGTAAGTTGGTTTGGCATGTCAAAGGTCATTGACTACTTTGTTAGCCTTGTGTGTAGTCTGGGTTCCAGACAGCTCGCGGGGCCCCCGTCAATGAAGAAAACATTGTACCCGCTATTGTACAAAGTAACTTTCCTGTGACGGACTATCCCAGAAATAGCTAGCACAATGCTTTTGCCATTGAAGGGGGCCTTTGTGATAGAGTTGTTAGCGTGCCCAGATTGTAGTCTAGATAATGAAAGGACTTCTTCAGTCCCTTCTGTTTTGTACCCCTGCAATGTATTCCCTTTGAAAAACAAGTTCAATTTTGCCTTTTGGGATTTCTGAATCCTATATGAGCAATGAATTGGAACAGTTAGTTGCGAAGGCTAATTTGAAATGCTATGCAGCAACCTTTCACCATACGCAAACTGGTGAGAGGGGCTTTGGCTGAAAAGCACTCACGGTGGTCAACAAAGGGTTCAATGTGTTTGCGATAACACAAGTTGAAAGCTGTGTTTTATGTTTATGTACGTGTACTCTGTACGTAAATATACCCTTAGTATTTAATGCAAATGCAAAACCTTACTGCTAATGATGGAAACATGTACACCATTTATATTATGGGCACATTCAGTGGCGGATCTAGTCCAATCATGGTGCTTTTCAAAGCACTTTCCATTTCTTTTTCCTTCCTTTATTTTTTTTCCACTCATGGCGGGGGAGGGGCAGGGGAGGGGGTTATAGCTGACCCCTGTGTCCGCCACTGGGCCGATGCACAAATAAACATGTCTTTCACCATGCAAAGATGTAAGGTTTCTGTGTACATTCCGTTAAAGATTGGTTATGGATTCGACACTATACATACTCAAGAACGAGCATGCATATGCGATGTGCCCTTTCTAGGCTTTGTGATCAGGCCTTACTGCACCATCCATAGTTCCCACATAGCTGCACAAGATGATTTGTTTCCAATTCCAGTTTGTCACAGTTCCAGGAAAAATTTAGAACATCTAATGCCAAATCCATGCTATTATAGGACAATTTGCTGACGTGCTGCCAGAACGTTGTGATGAGCTACATGTTTTTCTGCAAACTAAGTCACCACATGCTGCAACTTAAATCTCCAAAGTAAAAACTCGATCATTATTAACATGCTTCAGTCAATGTGTCAAGCTCCTAGATTCACAGTAAAAATTCAAAGCACCCTACAAAGATGTGTTCATTGGTGCGTACAGCAGTGTGCTAAAGTGCTGCCTGATTTATTGAGATGCGCTTCATGTTTTGCGGCACACTAAAACAGCTACTCTATCCAAATAACTACCCCTCCGACCTTTCTCTTTCACTGATTTCATTTCCATTAATACATTCATGTTTCCTCTCATCACTCCATTCCAGATGGCCATGTTGGCAATCCTCCAGAGAGACAGAGTAAGTCATTCATGCTATATCTCCATTTTCCTGCCTTTTTCTTAAATAGACTAATCCATTAACCTTGAACTCCCTACTGTCTTTCACTAAGTACTGGACCAAGTCCGCCAAAATCCATCAATCACACTGCTTCCAATGCATGCTTTGCTTTAGGCCTCCAGGCCAAGTCCATCATTATTTAGTCATTTTGATGGACTTGGGGAGGATAGGGTTAAAGGTCAGCCCACTGCACACGTGGGACATACCGGTAAAGCCCAGGTCACATATTCACGGTTTGGAGCTACGGACCTCCACGGTTTGAAATTCGTGATAAACCGTGGGAGTACCATATTCATCCTTAGTACATCCATGGTTTTCTGTCATCTTCCTTGGGTATTCGTGGAGGGGCTACGGAAGTTTTAAACTGTTCATAACTTTCGTGGTGAACCGTCATGAAAATTAGTCCGTAGTGCAACCGTGGGATATCCAAAGGACAACCGTATTTATTCGTAGTGTTATTCGTGGCTATTCGTGCATATTCTTGAAAATTCGTAGCTTATTCGTGGTAGAAATCTCTACGAATTCACTACAAATGTCCTACGGATACTAAGGTTGTACTACGAATATGCTGTAGGAAAACCTTGGTCATCCGTGGCCCAATCGCAGACAACCGTGGCATTAACGTCATTATTCTTAGTAATACTGACGATATTCGTAAACAATCCATCCATATTCATGACAAACCGTGGTGGATTCGTAAAGAAACCTTAGGACAGTCATAGGATAAATAAGTCATGCGTACTTCGCGTGTGAACCATACAGTACGCACACGGGGTGTCCCGTGCAAGGGGCTCTCAAAAGTGGTAAAAACGTGCCCTCTTTTGTTGGCGCACGGAGTACATTGTCCCTATCGTTACCCTTTCTTCTCGGTACCCATAAGACCGAATATGGGTAAACACGCATACACACACGGACGGACAAGGCAGAAACAATATGCCACTTGGGCTTCACCGGCGGGTCATAAAAAATAGCCAGTCACAGTCTTTGCTATTTGAATTCTACACTGACTTTCAGATCATTTAGTGTCGCGTCACACTCGAAAATTAAATCACGTTTTCTCCTTTTTTCCCCTTTGCAGATGGCACCACGCCAAAGTCCAAACGAAAGCCTCCAGTACCAGTGCCTAGGTCGTCATCAACGACAAGGTAAGTTACTTTTGTTTTTTTTACATTGATTTAAAGCATATCCATCCTCACAGATAACTTTTAGCAGGTGAAGGTGTCAACTGAATATGTTTGAAAGTCTACCGTTATTTTACCAAATTTTGATAACCTGATTTCGAAACTTTTTTTTTTATAGATATTTACAGATTTAAGACAAAAAGACCAATTTCTTTACGAGCATTGTATTTGAAAGTTTGGGGGAAAATGTTAATCACTGAAAAGTAAAATGAGCATTTTTTGTCTTTTTTTCCCACAAGTTTATTTAATTCTTAAAATTTGTCTATCACGTTAATGTACACTGCCGACCATCGTTGCGGGAAAAAAAACTGACTTTTTTCAAATACTTCCCCCAATTTACAAAAATTTAGTTAGTCCACATTTTGTTCGCAATCCGTTACACATCTGTGAACGGATGCAAGCCAGCTAGTCGGGTTCCCTGACCTAACAATTCCCCGATGTCTATAAATTGCTCCGTTTCGTATGAAGTAGGGTCAGGGAACCAGACCACAAGAACATCATTTTTTTGTCTTGGTTTTTCCAGCATGTATGAACAGGAACCTTTACACAGGTCAGTGTAACAATATTTGCTATAAACTACTAATCCCCAAATCCATCCATTTCTGAAAATTATAGCAAAAGCAAATTTATTATAAGATGGAATTTTTGCGTCTGGTGATATAAATCAAATTAGGTTTGCCCTTCAACTTTCACTCGGGAGGTAACACACTGAGTATACAGTGTTTAAACGTCGGTGAAGGGCAAAACCTAATTTGATTTATATCACCCCGACGCAAAAAGTTCCATCTTACAATAGTTTATGCGGTACCCGCTGCTATGTACATCAGATTCGAACCAGCCAACCGATCCCGTTAGCTCGGTGGTCGAGTGGTAAGACATCTGCACTAGAAAGCAGGAGGTCGTGGGTTCGAGTCCCACCCGAGTGATTTTTTTCCAACTTTCACTCGGGAGGTAACACACTGAGTATACAGTGTTTAAACGTCGGTGAAGGGCAAAACCTAATTTGATTTAAAAGCAAATGTTGCATATTACCTGTAAACAGGTCAGTGTAACACTATTTGCTATAAAATACTACTTCCCAAATCCATCTATTTCTGAAAATTACAGCAAAAGTAAATGTGATGCGATCAAGCTAAATGAGTCGTTTCAGTCGGGAATTTTCATTTGGAGATTCAGGCCAAAATAGGGCCACTTCATCACATCTCTTGGTGTTCCGACTTCCATAATTTTAAACTAAGGATGGTATCAGCATGCAGTTTTCACAGCAGTAATGCTGAGATTGTGCTCTTTTCAAATCTGGTAAAAAAAAAAAATGACCAGGGTCGACAAATGAATCTTTTAGCTTGATCGCATCACAAATGTTGTATAGTACCTTGAATCTTGCATACTTCGCACCATATGCAGCAAACTATGGGGGTTTTCGAACTCTGTCTTCGGCTTCGGATTTGCCTCCGACTTCTGTATCACTGAGAGGCAAACTAAACAAAAACATTCAAACCTTTTGGCTTCATATCAACCGATTGAATGTTCCTGGAGCATAACAGGCAACCAAATGTAGCTGGAGTTCCTGAAGTTGGGGGCCTTAAATCTCCTTAAGCCGAAGACGAAGCTAAAGCTATATACGTCTCTCTTTCACTGGAACTCTCATGAAGCGCCCTCTATTGTTCATGCATGGAGTCCATGCTGCAGATGAAGGTGTGAAATGTGCTTTACCCCCAATGCATCATGGGAAAACACTGCTGTTAACAGTATTGACTTTTATTTTGTAAATTCAGTACGCATTCTTTCATGCCTACGGTGATTGATTATGTAAAGCAAAGTACCTGCGAAAGAAAATAATTAAGAAGAGTTTGAAGTCAAATTTAATGACACTTGCATGGGAAATTACACAGTTCAGGGGCCAATTTCACGGAGATGCTAAGCAAAAAAAAAATTGCTTAGCACCAAAAAAGACTGGCTTATAAAAGCAGGTTACCAGCCAAAACTCCATTTGATGTATATTGCTCATGATTAGTATTCGGCTGTTGTTTGCTATAGCATGAAAATCACGTGGAGTTTTGGCTGGTAAACTGCTTTTATAAGCCAGACTTTGTTTGTGCTAAGCAAATTTTTTTGCTTAGCAGCACCGTGAAATTGGGCCCAGATGTAACAGGGACACACAAAAAATGTCACAGTTTAAGACCCCTAATTAATGGAATGACCCATTTACCAGTAAACAAGGACTTGGGTGTTGGCCACACATGATTTAATTCGGATTTGTATTTTTTTAATACATTTTATTCATAGAGTTTATGAGGCTCCTGAATGCATTTGAGTTTGTTTTTGCATCCAGTTGGAGATGTTGAACAATAGAGGACAATAGGGTCCCCAATTCCCAAAAGTCCACAATTTGGCGATGTGTACAAAATATATGGAAGGTTTTCCTAAAAAGTTAAGAGTACAAACAAAAGGGGGACAATAGGGGTCCCCGATTGCAGGCAAATACACACTTGTGTGTGTTTGTCTGGCACAATTTTTCAAAACAAAGAACTGAAGATTAATGCAGGATATTACATGGCCAAATGATTGGCCGCGCGCTCATATTGATTGACAATTTGTTGTACGCATTTGCAGTTTATCAGTGAAGGAGAAAATGGCCATGTTTGAGGTCAAGTAAGTACAATAGCTTGAAACCTGGTGACGGGAAAACGTGCTATTATTGCAATTTGGTGATTGGGGAGAATAGTAGTCAAAATCTCGATGCCTTAAAAATTAAAATAGATAATTGAGATTTTGGTACGGATAAGAATAATGTGCATTATTAACCCTAACCTTCCCAAATCCTCCCAAATCCTCTTTGCAAAATGGAGGATTTTGCAGGATTGAGGCAAGTGTGGCTGATTTTGGAGGATGCACTTATGTCAAGGTCTTAAGCTGGAATTATGCTCAGCCGTGCATAAATTTAGGCCTATGTTATACTTGAAATCCTCCGCACTGCTCCAGGATGTCGCTGGCTCTGCCTCAACATATTGATAGTGATTGCCGGAGGATTTTGCAGGATTGAGGCATGGTCAACCCTCCAAGGACCACATTTCAAGAAATAATGGAGGATTTTGCAGGATTGAGGCTGGATGCTATTTTGACATGGAGGCAGTTGGAGGATTTTGCAGGATTGAAGTTACATCCTAGCAAAAATGCCTAGGGAGTTAGAGTTAATGCTGAATTTTTGTGGTCTGTGGTACATGTCGTATGTGTGTTTCAACAAGCTTTGGTGTTAATTGGTGATTTCTATTTTTGTGTGGATTGTTGAGTGTCTGTCACTGTGTATTGGTGAGTCAAATGTCAAATAAATTGTGTGTGCTTTAAACTTCAGAGAGCTTTTGTGTCAAATTTTCACACAACCATGCTTAGAAGACGTGCACAGCCTAATAGATGTTTTTAACAAAGTGTGTAATTCATTTATCCTAATCCAAAATCCCTTTTGTTTAACAATAATAATAATTTGGGAAGCTAATCATCCTTACTCGCAGCTGGTATGCTGAATTGCGAAGGACGCGGCTACAACATGGTCGGGCCGCTGGCACGTAAAGGCGCCTATGGCTGCCGTCCACATCGACCCATATATGACCACGGAGCACAGCCTGAGATCGAAAGTGTTCGATTTTTTTATTTGTTGCAGGGGTTGAAGGTTTTATGTAGGCATCCAACGTTCTTGTCTGTTTTCTGTTGTTTGTTCGACTCCCCTAGTAGTAGACAGGCATTTTCTAAAACGTAGTCATGCCTAACATGGTATTAACTTTCGTGGGTTTGATTTTTACTGACAAAATGTTTAGAGCTTGTGAGAAAAACACAGTGCATTTGTGGTCTCAAGGTCAGCAGTAGCGCCTACTTTATATGCGACACTAAATGAAAAGGCAGGGTTGCAAACCCTGCCCCAATTCGTTCCTGGGATGTTGGTCACAGAGATGGACTGAAACTTAAAAATGGAAGCCTGGCAGACACCATTATAACCCTTTTATTATTATTATTAATCATTTCTGGTAATCCAAGGATTCCTCAAAAGCGCCCTAAGCACTGTAGCTTGCAAGCCTGAAGAAACTTGTGGAGAGAAGACAATGAGAAGAAGTTACAGTTTTAGAGGCGGGAGGAAAAGCCCAGAAGAATATTCTGGGGAAAACCCACGGAATCAGGTAGGGACTGAAAACCCAATCCACATATTGGGTTTTCAGTCCCTACCTGATTCCGTGGGTTTTCCCCAGAATATTCTTCTGGGCTTACTCTAAGGGATGCCACAAAACCATGAGGATATTTTAGGGAATTTTTGCAGGATGTAGAAAGGTAGATGCTGTGCTTATTTTGCTATTACTGTACATAGCACTGGATGCCCTTCAAATTTGAAAGTTTAACAAGTAAAGATATGTCACTGTGGAGGATTTTGGAGGATTCGGTGAGGTTCTGTGCCAAAAAAAAAATAGCCTGGGTGTTTAGGGATAACTATTGATATATGGGTTGTTTTTATTAGTTAACTTCTTTTTTTTTCATGATGATGAGTGGTCAGTGGTACTTCCTTACCGTCCAACTCGAGTGATCCTGGTTCACATCCTACCCAGTGCACCAAAATGTTCAGGTTGATGCATTTGTTTGGTTTTCCGTTGGATTAACCTTCTGGGGTTGTGCTCTCACACTCAAAGTTTATATGTCTTCCCTGCTTTCTCAAAAGAAGATATTCGACAACAATGTACATTTGTTAATTATATTTTCGAGGCTTCCTAGCTCAGCACTATGAAGAAGGTGGGCTCAAGGGCAAACATAAACACAGTCATGAAAATCGTCAAAGAAAGCAACCTTTGATTGTATACAAGGAACTTGAACACTGTTATGGCATTAGTTACATTGTTAAGGTGGATGGGCGACGGTACTGTAGAAACAGAGTTCACCTCAGGGACACACTGGTTGCACACGACACCAGAAAGCCATCTGACAGCGAAGCCCTGATCATGGACATAGCTCCCACAACACTTGACCCAGTGGCAAAATCATCAGACTCTCATAGTGAGCCACAGGTCGTAACTAGGTCCGGTAATATCTCCAAGCGTCCTCAATATCTAAAGGACTATGTGACCTAAACGACCACTAAATGGGTCATAAGGAGAACTGTTAGCTAACTCCCACAAATGAACACTTGACACACAGTTCTTCAGACATTTGGTTTTACCTATGCTTTGTTCAGCATTTTTTGTACTTAAGCATGTTTAGTGTTTGCTCTAACTTTCTCGAGTGTTTACTCTAACTTTGTGCAAAAAATTGTTGTTGCTGTTAAAAAAAAAGAAAAAAAAAAGGAAGTTGTTGTGGAAAAATACATGTGCAAGACATTTAACTCCAAAGAAAGGGAGATGTTATAGTCAGATCACGTGGCAATTATAGTGCACCGTAGTTTTAGCCCAGCAATACCTGTGTTCCATGGGTTCTAGAGCATATAATAAAGCAGCACTGTTCGTAACTGTTACATGCTTGTGTCAGTCCACACGTTAAACAAACACGAGCTAAAAATTGACAGAATTCCATGGCTGAATTTAACATTTTTCTGGTTAATTTTTGTCTAGCAAACTCACCAAGAGCACAAGTGTCGACAGCGGAATGACCGACGGCAACACGGCGTCCAAGGAAGACAAAACCGACACGGCCAGCATCAAGACATGTCCCGAGATGAGCCTGGCCGAGGAAGGAGCGTACTCGGAGATCGCGCCGGACGCAGACGACAAGAAGTCTGACATGTCCCTCTCGGGATCCTACCCGTCCTTCAAGGGCTCCTCGGAAGCCTCCTCGGAATTTTCGGAAAAGGACTCGGAAGTCTCGTCCAACAAAGGCTCTGGGGAGCTGGAGGATATCCTGCTCCATGCCAACCCGGCTTACGAGAGCGCGGAGAGTATTCAGTTTTCCGAGGAGGGGGAGGGGCACGTTGGGGAGGAGGACGCTTATGAAACGTTGAGAATCGGCGCTGCCAACAGTACACACAACGGAAACTCCACCTACAGTACTGTACAGTAACAAAGTGTAATATATGCCAAACTTGTCGTATGGGCATTTGTTAAATGTGCATGTATATTACATACAATGATTTGTGAGTATTTTTTTCCTCCAGATATCGCTATTATGAGTTGAACAAAAAGAACAGTTGAATTTTGGAATAAAGTATTTGGAATCTGTTGATTCTATTGATTATGTACAAGTTGAGATTTTGATATTATTTAAATGTGATGCGCATTTTCAGTACTGTGGATCGTGTTTTTTACCTGTTCATTGAGCTTAGCTATAGCTGTTTAAAATGTGTAGCCGTCACAAATTTATTGGTTTTTTGGGGGGCCAAAAAATATTGGCTTTGTTTTACGTTCTGATCTGAAAGAAACTATAAGATTTCCAGCAATATTTTGAATCGGCTGTTTCAGCTGAATTTAAGATGTCTTTAGGGAGTTAGTTTTGACAATACAATCTCAAAGTATTGAAAATTAATTGCATAAAATGCTTGCTCACTGGATCAGGAAACCAAGACACTAAGGATCAAATTTGATTTATTTTGGTAATTCTTAAGTTAAAATCTGCTTGCTTGTGTAAATACCTTTTTTTGTGCAAACTTGCATAAAAAGCCTCACGGCCTCCAAACCTCTTCCAATAATACCAGGTACTTATATAGCACTTGTAACTAAGATCAAAGTGCTTTACAGTATTGTTATCCCTGATCTTTGGGCTAATGAAACATTCCAAATACCATCTCAGCTCCCTGGGGATTATACAGCTGGATGCTACCATATCGGTGCAAAGCAGCTAAAATCACTCCCAATAACCATCTCTGCCCTCATAGGTACCCATTTACTCCTGGGTTGAGAGAAGCAAAGAGTGACAAAGTGCCTTGCCCGAGGGCACACACGCCACACCCCAGGCTGGAACCAAACCCACAGACTTACCCGCTAACCACGAGTTCAATGCTCCAGACTACGAGGCCACGGCACTCCACAAGTGAAACCTAGCCTATCAGTCTTGAAACCTTTCTTAGCGACCCAACCTCAAAACCCTGCCTTTGCCATGGTTAGGGCTCCACCTTTGTACAGCATATCTCAAAATCACTCTTTGCAAAACTCGTTTTCCTGGCAAATAGTCAACCCCTTGCTTCTGCCATGTAACTCTGCCCCTGCAATCTCAAATTTTCCTTCAACGCTCCTCAAATGCCACATTGTATCATTTGCAATTACATGTACCCAGAAAAGTACCTACCGATGTAAAGACAGAAATAATTGCTCAAAGTGAAGATAGGACTGGTATCAAATACCCTTTGAAGGTATTCCGCCTGATCAATGGCATCGTTTGGAAGAAACTAACATCGAAGGTGGTTTCAAATTTCAGTGCTTGCAGGCACACTTTTTTACGTGCATTAGCAACGGAATCCAGGTATGAGACCAAAAACAAATGTGCATATGTTTTCTCTTCTTTTTTTTCCAAAAATGTATAGTATCCACTGAGCTGAAAGTTCAACAGGGTAGTTATGCCCATTACTTAAGATAATGAGCAATTTTGTTGCTTCCAACAAGCTCCCTCCCTTGGCAAACCCCAAGTCCTGTTCCATTCAATCCTTTGCCCCAAATTAGGCATAGCCGTCGTTCAGTTTGCACATGTGGAGGGCACGTAGCCTCATTTTTTGGAGGGGGGGGGAGCACTTTTTGGGTTTTGACAAAAAGCCCATTTTTTTCTACTAATACAGAGGGGGTGGGGCACTGACCTCGAAAGGAGAGGGGGGGGGGGGCGGCACAGTCCCTGCTCCCCACGCCCTGTTGTCCCTACCCCTAAGTTACTCCATTGCATTACTCTGGATGTAAACCTTCTTAAGGCCTTCAGCCAAAAGAGGGCTGGAAGTGGGAGGGGGGAGGAGTGAAATACGTGGGTAAAAATAATTTACAGTTTACATTGGTAAACTAAAATATACGGAAGAGGCGGGGCACCACTTGGTGCTGGGTACCATGCAAGTTCATCAGCAAGGTCTTTTTGCTCAAATGCCGCGCCTGTATATGTCGAGAATTATCTACTTACATTTTGCAAGTTCATACATGTGTCGTTTTAACAATTTGCATGCATTTTTTGATGTGTTTGTGTGTGTATAAAGAGTTAAGTAATGAAAACAGAAATCTTTCCGTGTCTTGCTGCATCCATGGCAACTATGAAGAGAAATGTGATTTATTGTACAGACAACGAAACCCTAGTGAATCATGTAGAAAATTATTTTTGTAGCGCACCAGTTGTTGTAAACAGAGACATTTTAACTCTCATTTGAACTGTAAAATGAAGATGGGATTAAGTCCAAAGTAGTACTTATGAAGCCATCTGGTAAAATGTATACATTTTGTATTTAATTTGTTTGACTGTTAAACCTGAGACCAAAGTTAATTTTTTTCATACAATTGTTAAGTTTGATGGTACTAGATAGTTCATTAGTTAGTTTGGTTATTAAATTTAACTTGGTTAATAGTGACGTGGTTAGTAAATTGGATGAGTTACTATGCCTATCACTAATCATCTTTCCGGTTTGTGGCTTTAATCTTGGTCCAGCAACGTCCAAAAAAGACAACTTTATCCACAGCTATCTGGTTTAACTAATTAGCACCTGTACTACATTGTACTACCTTGTACTACATTGTACTACCTTGTACTATGTTGTACTACACTGTACTTATTCCTCAATGGATCCATAAAACCATCATGCTTGGTCAGTTTGGGGCAGTACAGGAAGTAACAGGCAGGGCAGTTTGGGGTGGTACAGGGAGTAACAGGCAGGGCGGTTTGGGGCGGTACAGGGAGTAACAGGCAGGGCAGTTAGGGACGGTACAGGTAGTAACAGGCAGGGCAATTTGGGGCGGTACAGGGAGTAACAGGCAGGGCAATTTGGGGCGGTACAGGGAGTAACAGGCAGGGCAGTTTGGGGCTGTACAGGGAGTAACAGGCAGGGCAGTTTGGGGCGGTACAGGACGGTTTGGGGCGGTACAGGGAGTAACAGGCAGGGCAGTTTAGGGTGGTACAGGGAGTAACAGGCAGGACGGTTTGGCTTAACCAAGGGTTCGACTTTAGCGGTAGCCCGCTAGCCAAATGCTAGTCAAAACAGCGGCAGGCTAGTCAAACTATTCCTTAAGTAGCCCGGCTGGCGAGTCAACAATTATTGAGCTACGGCAAAGATGAAAGGACAGGAAGAAATTCTTAATTAAATTCAGAAATCAAATCTGTATCAATTTGTGTCTAATTTTATTAACTGTTTAGGGTTAAATTATTAGATCTGTTTATTAAAAACACTGACAAGATTGCCTCAGGATACATGGTTTACATGTATGCACATTGTTGTTTATGAGACACTCGATAAAATAAAAACATGCGAGCTAGTGAAAATGCCCGCGGGCTAGTTAAGAGTCTGTTCAGTAGCCTGGCTGGCTAGTGAACAAAAAAGTTAGGCGAACCCTGCTAAACCCCCCAACAAAGTTTAAATTCTTTAGCAGCGGGCCCTGCTATGAATGTAGGTTGCCATTTTGAATGGAAATTCATTTAAAGGATCATTTCAGTTACAATTGCAGTAATGGTGATTTTCTTTTATATTGAATCGGATTAAAAACTGTACTATCAGCCTTGCCTTTTTATCAAATAATTTTCTTGCCTTTTAATAAAAAAAAATGTTATCCAATGATGATTTATGTAACCTTTGATATTGATGGTTGTGCCACATTGTTAAAAAATATATCAACCAAGACTTGAAAAGGTACTTTTTTGCTTACTTTTTAATTGAATAACCTTGAAAGTGCCATTTTTCTAAATACTAATGATAAAAAACCACTTAAATATCAAGTTTTTGAATAGGGTTTTGCCTTTCACCGACGTACGATGAAATGTGCTTTTGTAACTACTGGAATTTGTTGATAAAAATATTTTATTCCCATCACTTACATTACCCATCAAACAAGAAACTAAACTCTCTATGTAGACAAACTGCGAATGTATAATATTGTACAAACAAGCCCCTAATAAAAAAAACCTTTGTAATAAGATTTACTTAAGTTAAATTGTGTGGTGTAAGATTCTACAAGAATTTTGTTGTTGTTTTTTAGATGAACTAATTTCACATTCATTGTTTTCTGGTGGAAATGTACTTTTGTAACCGCTGTGGATCCATTGTCTCTGTACAGCTAGGTAACAGACTATCAGTGTACATGGGGCTGATAGAGCAGAATAAGGCAGAACAAAAGACTGGGCAAGTCTACTAAAGCTGGTCCCAGTCCAATTAACCTATCGCGGTAGAATCGCGTCAACGCAGCTTGTGAAATATTGTCCAATTACATGATATACAAATTGTGCATCCTGTCAAAGATTGCACGCACCCATTCACAGACTCGCCAAATTACAAATCAACTACCAACAGAAATTTCCCAAAATGTGTCACTTGACGCATCTTTGGAAATGACCTTCTTTGATTGTTTTCTTCAAAATGACAGCATGCCAGAAGGAATACTTTCACACGGAGTTTAGTGCCATGTTACTGTCTTTAAACCAAGTATGCTTTTTAGCAATAATTTGGTCAGTTACTTTTTGGATAGCTACAAATAATCTACTTTAACATACTAAAAATGATCTCAGCAGTATTTTCTGTCTGGCTGCTCCATCAAAATGGACCCAGAAAATATGAATTTCTCAGCTCCTGACTCTGACTGTTTTGATATTCATTGAATTTTTTCAAATCCAGTACTTTTTGTTTGTACAGAATGTGTATGCACTTGAATTTCTGAACCATTGTTTGTGAGGCAATCTGGCAAAACGAGGCAGAACCGAGGGTTTGTGGGTATTCGGAAAGAGAATAAAATTCTTCTTACAATTTGGTTGCATTTCAATCGGACATTCTGTTGACAAGTTATGGCTGTTTAAAGTTTGCATTTATCAACATGTACAAAGAAAATACTGAGAAAAAAAGCCTTTAAACTTTTGACTGTTTTGCAGTAGTGGAAATGAAAGATGCCAATTGTTCTTTAAAAACAATTATATTCCACGATTCTTATACTATTTCTTTAAAATATGAGTAGTACACATATCAAAGATTACAAATATCAACAAGTCTGAAAATTGTTTTTTTCTCCACTACGGCCTTAGTCCAGTTCCGTTTCATTTTGCCAGAGAACACCTCACATTTTACATTTTCATTAGGTCTTTAGATGCATGTTTCAACATGTAGTTTTTCTCGTACGTTTACAATGAGTGCATGCATCATTCATATTGTAGATCAGCTGATAAACAAGTAGAATTTTGAGGGGAAAAAATGACGTAATGTAAGGTATTAGCACAAGATCATAGTTTCACCAGATATCTAAGTAATGTCATCAGTGCGTACAGACTTTTGACTAGAAAGTAAGTTGCCACATTATAGATTGGAAGACACATGTTGAAAACATGTTTTATCTTGCCAATACAGAAACAGTGGTCTTCCAAGTTTTCGAAATTCAGGATTTTGTATAATTTACCACCAAATTATGGGATTCCCCAATAAGTGAGTAAAATCTGAACTTTCTGATTATTCAAATATCAGTTGTGTTTTTTAAGATGACGTGAGTGTTGTTTCTTTCTGAGTAACAAACATTGAAATGGTTTTTAAAAAGTTTCTACTTTTGCTTTTCTTACCAAGTACAGGTACTGAAATTGAAAGATTTCTCCAAAAATACTTGTCTTTTAATTTTTTGCATAACTTAATTTTTGCTACTATACCTAGTCAGTGTTTTATGTCATCTTTTGCTCGGGTCACACAGTGAGTGAGATAATTTATTAATTAATTGTGGATAAACAATTTAAATGTTAATTTGTGATAGATATTTAATTGCAATTCAAATTTTATGAAAAGGAAATTTGTTTAAAAAATGTTTTGGAACTGCTCAAACTATTTTAGCAAACAACATTTGCCTGTCATCAGCAGTAGTTGAATGAGGCGTAATAAAAAAAATATTTGTGGCTTTCATCATTTTTTAACTCTCAATTGATTAAAATCTAGCAGCCTAAAAAAGTATTGTATTTAGTTGACCCTTAACACGTTATTAAACAGATTGCTTATATCTATTACATATGAACAATTTATGTAAAAAAAAAACCATGTTAATCATTCCAGTAAATTTAGTACTATAATTAAATGTTTGAATTCAAAGATAATAAATTTGTTGCTTTAAAAAACATTAAGTCTGTTCATTTTAAGAATAACAATTTGCAAGACTTTCCCCAACATGTTATATTTGTTTACCATTACGCTAAACCATTTTTTTTTCTTCAGTTTGAGCAAACATAGACCCGAGATATTTCTGTGAATTGAATATGAAATTGATTTCAGAAATTGTATTTATAAATGTTTATGAACACGGAATGAAAATTGTAAATAAAAGCCAACAACGACCCATATTTGATGAGGCTTGACGAGTTTTGTTGTGCAGAGCTGTTTCATACATCCGCCTTAATTATTATCGAGGGCAAATCATTCAAAATTGTACAAGTCATGATTCCGTTACCAAATACGGGTGGATTTTTTATTGCTTGATGCCAAATTCAGTTGTAAATAACTCGGCATTGCTGGGCAAAATAAATGTATATATTTTCATGGGGGGGGGGTTAAAAGTTGAAACTCAAAAATATCATTGGAAAAGCAATATTTAAGCAATAAAATAGCAATAGGGAGTTGATCCTTTTGAAGGATTTGGGGAAAAAACCTCTTGTTTATTCACTTTCTGCAAGTAAAAGTAAACGCATGCAAGAGAATTAATTAAAATTTGTTAAATAAATGCAAAAAGGCTGTTTTTCAGCTTGCAAAGACAGAGAATATTCCTGCTTTCTAAAAGTCAAAGGCTGTCAATTAACAATAGAAACAAGATCATGGAAAACTAATCCTCATAATGGGGAAAAAGGTTAAGAAAAATCTAAAGTAATTGATTAAATAAGATTAAAAAAAAAAGAGACAAAATACAATCTGTAATATCCCAACATGCCAAAGAAGTAACAAAATAGGCCCGAAAAATTTGACCGATTTGCCTGTGCCGGTATAGCGCCACCAACGTCGATTAAAGGGACTTGATTTTTCGGCAACGTGATTGGCTGGAATTTTTACGCTGCGGGATTCTTGAAAAACATTTTTCCCTCTGACGAAAGAAGCCTGAAACGTTGTTTCATTGAAGATTATACTGAATTTTGAAAAGTTTGGTTGTTGTTTGAATCTACAAAATTGCAGTTTGGTCTGTGTCTTCTAGGTAAATATGTTATAATTTTTTTGTTGCTGAAATGTGTTTTGTAGCGAATTTATTGTGAATCGAGTGACGTGCCTCATTCAGATCATTGTCATGATCATGATTATGCCGTCTATTTCCGACATCTATGAAGCTGTTAGTGTAATTTTTGGCGATCGTGAAGTGTAGGGGGCCCCTGTTTTGTTTTGATCAAATTAGAGTAAAAAATGTTTTTTATTGCTCCAAAATCACCTTTACAATCAAAAGCAGACTTTTCTCAATTCTAATGACAACCGTTTTGCAAGTTTGAACAGATTCTTGGTGTAGAAATCACGGGATTCACAATTTTCCTGCGCGGTTTGTGCCTTGCGATTCAGCGCGCCGTGCGTGCTCATGGGGGTCGTACTAATAAGCGTCAACACAGCGTCAACACTAGACCCGTGAACGTGGCTTATAAACTACGCCACGCTCTTGTTCATGTTCGAACCTAGCCCCATAAATGTGGCCTATTTACTGGACTGCCTCCGTAAACATAGGCCACACATCCACATGTACAAAAATCGTGTCGACGGAGCCAAATTTTGATTTTCACATTTAGGCTTAGTTTGTAGGTTTTTTTTGCTTTAGAAGCATACTCACCCTCTTTACAGGCTAATCAGAAAGTGCTGCCTTTTTCAGATGTCTAATTTTTGTGAAATTTCATGTTGAAATTTTGATACGCAAACGTGTAAAAATGAATCTGGAAATTTCACGAAAAATATACATCTGAAAAAGGCAGCACTTTCTGATTAGCCTATAAAGAGGGTGAGTATGCTTCTAAAGCAAAAAAACCCTACAAACTAAGCCTAAATGTGAAAATCAAAATTTGGCTCCGTCGACATGATTTTTGTACATGTGGATGTGTGGCCTATGTTTACGGAGGCAGTCCAGTAAATAGGCCACATTTATGGGGCTAGTTCGAACCAAGCGAAATCGTCCTTCCGTCATGTCCGTGACAAAGACTGAACATTGCCTTACCGTGTGATAAGTATTCACATATCTAGCCCCACTAGTGTGGCCGTCGGTATGCTGCGCTGAACCCAAGGCCACACACCGTGGTCTGCGCACTACTGAGGACGTTTTCATAATTTCAACAGCGAATTTCTTACGTATGGTTGTATTCTACGATGTCCCAACTTTCACTTCTGGGATGCTTGGGTGTAATGATGTTCAATTTTCCAAGATATTCTTGAATCTTTCTGGAGCCCATATGCACTCGTGAAACGTCTGGTGATGGCAGCCATTTTGAATGTGACAAGAGATGACCTCAAGCTGTGACGTCGCGTTTATGCAAATTGCTTGTCAAGCGAGGGCGCGAGTTGCAAATGCGACGGCTGTTTCCTGTGCCGTAGATCCTGAATAGAGATCAGTGCACGTGGCCCCCAGACGATAAATGCATGGTACAGGAAACAGCCGTCGCATTTGCAACTCGCGCCCTCGCTCGACAAGCAATTTGCATAAACGCGACGTCACAGCTTGAGGTCATCTCTTGTCACATTCAAAATGGCTGCCATCACCAGACGTTTCACGAGTGCATATGGGCTCCAGAAAGATTCAAGAATATCTTGGAAAATTGAACATCATTACACCCAAGCATCCCAGAAGTGAAAGTTGGGACATCGTAGAATACAACCATATGTAAGAAATTCGCTGTTGAAATTATGAAAACGTCCTCAGTAGTGCGCAGACCACGGTGTGTGGCCTTGGGTTCAGCGCAGCATACCGACGGCCACACTAGTGGGGCTATCACATATCAAGCTTTCTTGAACATCTTGAAATCTGCTTTTACGCCAAATCTGGCTGGCATTCAAACGAAATTCGAGGTAAAATCTGGCAAGATCTCGACGTCGAAGTAGAAGTCCTGCAACCTCCTCCTGATGCATGTGATTTACTACCTGATAAATGCTGCAGATAATTTGGTATCGCACTGACGCTCCAGGCTTTTGTCCGGATCGTAAGTGCGATTCAAAATTATTAGCTGCGTTTATCACGTGGCCTCGTTATTGGCCAATCAGACACCGCCTATCATATGCGCCACATGAAGCAGACGGGTAGCTCGGAGGGCTCCGATAATTTTGCACACAAATGACCCTGGGTACTCGTCCAGGGGTCATTTGTCAGGGTCACTTGTCAGGTTAAAATCTAATTTCTACATGTTCATATGGGTCTTCATTGATGGCAAATTTCGTCGAAATGACACATCCTGAACACGCTGGAAGGCAACTTTAGATTTCTAGGTGAGTACTTAACATCCATACGAAATTATGTATGGCGGATCGATTTCGCCAGGTTCGAAAATACACAACAGCGTGGCGTTGTATACAACGCCACAGTCACGGGTCTACATCAACACATGATAGAAGCGTCAACACACGATAGAAGTGTCAACACACTGTCAACACTGCCAAAACGCATTCTAAATTGACAAAAAAGGCATAGAACTTTAAAGTTTAGACTTAAAGAGATTTTCGGTGGGTCAGAGGTTACATTTCGTTTTAATACGAAAATGGAGGTTTTTTTTTTCACGCAAAAAATGATCCGAAGCAGCACTGCTGTTGTCGGCCATCTTGCCTTTGCACCGAGCTTGGACTGCACCATTTCAGATATGGGTGTGGAGGTAATGAAATTATCATGTCGTATACGGATTCATACGTAACGACCGCCCTCTGTTGATTTATTGTATAATAATATTGCCCCTTTTGCATAATGGTATCGTCTGCGCTGCCCCTTAAACAACCTGGCTGCCGATTTCGGCGCTGCACTGAGAGCCAATTTTCCTGAACAGAAAATTACAATTTTCAGACGTTTATCCTATTGATTTTGACCAAAATTTTATTTCCTCCCATACTGTACGGTTTGAACACTGGTTTTGTCAATTTAAATGCGTTTTGGAGGTGCTGACGCTGTGTTGGCGCTGTGTTGACCCTTCTGTGTGTGTTGACGCTTATTAGTATGACCGGCTCATGGTACATCGCACAGAGATCATCATCTTTATTTTCGGATCGAAATTATTTTGTCAGCAGAAAATCAACTCAGCTTTACTATAGTATGACTGCTAAATAGGGCCTAGCACAAAATTGTTGAATTCGGTACCTTCAGAGGTCTAGTTATCCAAAAATCATGGTAATTCGGCAACGAATTCCGGCAGTTTGAAAAAGCATAGCGTCTCTGATATTTACCAGACTGTTTCCCAGCCACCCTAATCAAAAGGCCAATGGGGTCAGTGAAGAGAAATGGCTGCATCGAGCTGTATACTCCCAAGGGAGCTGAGATGGTATTTGGAATGTTTCATTGGCCCAATGATCAGGGGTAATAATGTAAAGCGCTTTGATCTTAGTTAAAAGCGCTATATAAGAACCCATTTTTTTTTTATATTAATTTTATTTTTATTACAATATATACCGGTGGGAGGTAAGTCGGTCCGACAATTTTCCAAAGAGAAGAGATTATCTTTTCAACGTGCGCCAGCGCCAGCCATGTAGGGTGATTGCTGCATCACAGGAATCACCGTGATGCGTGCCCTCTATGGCTGATTCAACATTGACATTTTTAATTTGATTTTAACTCTTTTCGTTCAAGGTGTAAGTTGGCAGCATGACATCTCAACTTGTGCAAGCGTATGTTGACAAGGAAAACACCACCAGCCTGGCCACCAGTACCGGCAAGGGGCGGCTTGGCTCTCTGGCTGGTAGACAAGGTATTCTAGTACTGTGAACCGGTCCCTCATTTTTCCCACTCCTGTGCCTGCACTTCCTCTGTGCATGCGCACGCAAACGTGTGTTCACAATCGATCGTGGACGTCCTATTGTCCCTCTTTTGTTTGTACTCTTACTTTTTAGGAAGACTCCCATAGGTTTTGTTCACGACCCCAATCGCGGACGTATGCTGGGAATCGTGGACGATATTGTTCTCTTTTGTTCTCTGGTATTTTTCGTCCACGGTTTGAAAAGATGAACAACGCATAAGATATAACTTACCGTTTTGAACCGATTGAACCTGTGGTTCAAAGGGGAAACCTTTGGACTGCAGTTCCAGTGACCCAAGTTCCAGACCCATGTCTGACGTTTAATTTTTTTCGGGGGGGGGGGGATCCAAAAGTTCTGAGTTTTCTTCCTTTATTGTTTCAAATCAAATCCTGCATTGAATTATAGAATCTTTCATCTTTTTTCCCCTGATTCGTGGCTCAGGAGGATTTTATTTAGGTCTGATTTCCGTCTCCTGAATTCATACGAAATCAACGGGGAACCAGACGAAGGTTCCTCACGGACCAAAACACTCACCACCGTGTTCAGTGGGAGTGTTGGTACAAAAGCAAATAATTCAGGGACCGGTTCACTGACAAATATAGACTGCCTTACAATAAATTGTTTAAATTCAAAAGTATTTTCTTCATTAAAGACCATTCCTTTTGAGAAAACAACCCAGCAGGATGGGCACTTGATACTAGCATCATTCCTCAAAACACAACAGTCATATGTCTCGAGTGACAGTTTCTGATAACAAAACACTCTTTTTTTCCCTGCAAAGCAACAGCTGCCAAGACATTCAGCGTGGGGCCCTCTCCCCTTGCCACACCCCGCCGTGCTCTGGGCAACCTGAGCAACGATGTGACGCGCCTGACAGGCGGCCTTGGCAACAGTCAGAAGAAGCCGTTCAAGTCGGCCGGCGGGACTTGGGTCTTCAAGAAGCCGCTAGGGTCACAGTCCAAGACACCGGGACTGTCAATGAGAAAGCCCAGCGTACTCACACCGTCCAATCAGGTATGGTGATGGTGGTCATGATAGTGGGCCTAATTTCATAGTTCAGCTAAGCTCATGATTTTCTGTTCAAAAAGCGGGCAATTCACACTGCAGTGCGCCACCAAGAGTTTGCCATGGAGAGTCCTTTTTTAAGTTTACGGTCGACAAAACACGGTCCATTTGAACAAGTGTCATTAGACAACTTGAGCTAAGATGCTATAGATTTGGGCATAGCGTTCTGCCGCCTTACAAAAAACATCACATTGATAAAAAGAAAAGAAAAGGGCAAACGTATACTTGAATCATACGCTTATGAAACTACTGACCGGACAAACTAACAATATCAAATGTCCTGCACTGCGAATTTGTCGACCATCTCCCACTGGGCAAAATGAACTCTCTGTGGCAAACTCTTGGTGGCGCACTGCATTGTGAATCGCCCGAATTTTACGGAAAACGTAAGCACAGCAAAGAAAACACAAACTTTAGAAGCAGAATTTGCTTAAAGGCATTAAGGATCATCTGCTTTTCATGCATTTTGTTTGTTTTCAATAATTACAACAGTCAAAACCTGACCTGTTGAAGTTTCATTCAGCTCAGTGGATATTACACTTTTCGAGAAAACTGAAACTCCACGCACAACATTTTGATCACGAAACACAATTTTGTCAATAGCACTCCTCATTTTCAAAAATCAGTCCATTGACTGATCGTTGGGTATCACCTACATTTCTGGATTTCTTCTAAATGACAACAGGCCAGACAGTATAATTTCACGGGGTGTTTAGTACCAGTACGATCTGTAATCCTAGTAAGCTTTTTGACAATATTTGGTAGGTTACTTTTGGGATAAATGCAAATGATCCCATACATGTAAGCCTTTAAAACGCAGTAACGCAGCAGCATAAATCACTGTACGCATGCAAGCTTTAGTAAATCTGAGCAGGGGAAGCAAAGTTAGCAGAACTTGACAGTAACCATCAACTAATCAGCACTATGAAATAGGCACCAATGATATGTTGAGTGCAACTCTTGTGTGGCTAATGCAACCGAGAAATACCACTAAATCAAAATCTAGTTTATGTTTTTCCTGTGTAAATCAAGTAGACTCACAACCACACACGTGTAGCATAAGGCTTATCATCATAGCCCATTTAAAAATAGTTTCGAGCAGTTGTTTTGCTCTATAAAATGAGGTTCTCAAACTTTTGAAGTTGTATTGTGGCAAATCCATTAGATTGATGTGTCTACTTATTTGATTGTGCTCCTTCAGATTTCAGCGCCGAAACCCAAGATAAGACCCCAGATAATGGCCATGTCGTCTAGCCTGGTCAGACCAGCAGACAGCTATCCTGAAATAGAAACAATGCACATATACCAAGACAAAGGTAAGACAACAAACCTGTCATATTTTATTAGTACAGAACTTTTTGATGGGGGGGGGGGGGAGTTGAAGGGATAGGGAGGGTAACATTGGCAGGGTTTTTCTGAGACATAGGCCATTTTTGAACCTCGGCTTCAACTATGGCTCAGGCTTTGGGCTTTGATTTTGATTTGAGTTCCCTGACTTTTGAGGCTAAATACAAGTTCCTTTTTTGCTGCAAGACATTCAGATCATATTGTGGAACCAAAGTCAAGAGTCTTACTGTTCAGGTCAAACATTTAATGCCAACAAACGGTTCCAGGTCTGGACATAATGCCAAAATGGAGCTGTAGCGAAGGGTTTGAGAAAAGGCACCTATTATATTTTTGTTTAGAGATAAAATCGGTGAATTAACACCGAACCTTGCCTTGTTTGTTTTTCATATACTGTAATTCTTGCCCTTCTCATGTGGAATCCCCATCCTTCTGATTGTTCTTTCCTTGTCTTGTACCGCAGATCCCGAGTTTGAGTCACTACCCTCAGAAGATTGTCTGAGTATGTACCTAGACAGACTGTCCTCCCTCAGGGTACCCCCAGTGCCACGCCCACAGACAAGGGCACCCCAGGGTTGCCCTACTGACTACTCACACATGCAGCTGGAGACCACTAACAGATTGTCAGAGACCAGCACGACAGGTATGGGAATTGCTGCCGTACTTGGCAACTGGCCGTACCTACGTCCAGTGGATAAAGAATTTCCCCAAAGCTGGCACAAGTCGTCTTGCACTTGATCTTGTTCTTGAGTTGCCTTCATGTACATTGTAGCTCAAGATCATCAAGTTTTGCAATCTTACAAAGACCTCAAGCTATTTTTTCATCCGCCACCTTTTCATGTTTTTAGTCATTAAAGGGAATGTACAACATTTGCTTTTGCTGCAATTTTCAGAAATAAATGGATTTGGAGGATTAGTATGTTATATAAAATATTGTTAAACTGACTTGTTTCATGTTTTGGGCTTGTAGATGCTGGAAAAACCAAGAAAACCTATCATGTTCTTGTAGTCTGGTTCCCCTGACCCCACTTAAGATGAAACAAAGCAATTAATACACTTTGGGGAATTGTAAGGTCAGAGAATCAGTCTAGCAGGCTTGTACCCCTTCACAGGTGTGTGATCAATTGCAAAGAAAAGTCAGAATAACTAAATATGAAATATTAAGAGCAGTTTTTGAAACAAAAACAGTTTTCTCCAACGCTGGTCGGCCGACCAGCGTTGGAAAAATACAGTTTTTCTTGAAAATGTCAGCCCACCAGGGGCCACGATTTTAAAGGATGCTTTAGACTGTCAGTCCCTAACAATTCAGTAAGCTATTTTGTGATAATTTGATCATTTCGTTTTTTGATGTTTGCAAATGTTGTATTTTCCCTTTAATCGTAACCTTACCTACTCCATCAAATCTATCCCCCCATTTTGGGTGATTTTGGCAGATATAAAGCCATGTGTACAGAGTCCATCAAAATCCACCGGCACCAGTGGTGGATTTCAAGGGATTTGTGAAGCAGAGTAAATGATGGATTTTGACAGACATGGTCTTCTATTTATTAAAACTAAGTAGGGAGTTAGGGTTTTAAAAAAAATTACTGGATTGCTTTTGGAAGACATGTGGATTAAGGGAGATCTCCCTAAGGCCCCCCCAAAAAAGTCTCTGGTTTCTGGTATGCGCGCGCGTCGCCGTAGCCATGCGCGTCGGCAAAATGAAAAAGTTTTTTTTTTCAATGAAAGATGACGTCTCAAAACCGCCAAACTCTCTGGTTTGACTGGAATCCTGCTGCTGCACAATTTGAACGTGTTTTTATATGGGGTTATGATCGAGAATAAGCATTATGTGGCCTCTCTGGACTCCCATATATTTGCACTAAGTTTAGTCGGGCACCATTTGCAGTCATCAGCCGACATTTGAAGCCAAAAAAACAGGTAAAAAAAAAAAAAAAAGGCGCGTCGCCGCACCACTGTTTGGGCAAGCTCCATACCAGAAACTGGAGACTTTTTTTTTTGGCCTAATGCCTCAGCTCCTATTTAGAGGCAAAATTGTTCTAAAATTTGTGGGAAGGATAAGGGAAATTGGGGAAAGGGGTCAGGAAAGTTGGATTATTATTTGTGAACAAGTCTTTGTGAATGTCTCCCTAATGGTACATTTTTCAGCTATATCATTACCACAACAATTATGAATACGTCGCTTATATACCAAGAGCTTAAAAGCTAATTTTATGTCTCAACGAAACGCCTACTGTATTATTACAATAGTGTCCTAATTAAGTTCCACATTTAGCACTCGCGATCATATTTTTTGTACTTCTCTTTTCCAACTTTGCTGATTTGTTGCTTTTTAGAGAAAATTACTGAGTGTTTGAGTAGTGCAAACCATGCAGCCCTGAGCAAAAACTTATAACGACCACCCATGCCACGTTCAAGTATCAACTTTTTTAAAAGTCTTTGTGATTTTCTAACCCTGTGTTAATAATAGAATCAGTGAGCAACCTGGACACGGACACCCCTCTAAGCCTCAACTCCTGCCTGGACTTGCCCCCGCTGGACTCAGTGGACTTCATGGACATCAACAACATCAAACTGTGGGACACGCAGGACAACAGTTAAACAAAACTTGTCAGGGTGGTCCAAGTAAGCGATTAATTATAAACAAAATTTGCTAGTCGGGCTCGGCTAAATGAGTTTCTGCAGTGGTGGTTGAATTCTCCCCTTTTTGGCTGTGACATTCAAGGCCAAAACTTCTATTAGGCCATCGGCCTCGGTCCAAAATTTGGCCACCGGTATCAAATGAGGGGAATAATCGTCTTAGCCATTTTTGGCAAGGTATACACCTCCAGAGTTGGAAAATATGTGATAGCATTGCAGAGGTGGCAGCTTTTTGGGTGTTATCACCCTTTTTTTCAAAATGTCCATCAAAATGCTTGTTACCACTCTAGGGGCGGTATACCTTGTGCATGCGCACTATAATCATTTATGCCCTGATTTGATACTGACCAAACCCCAGGCTGATGGTCTATATAGAGGGCGCCAAACTGTGATTTATTTTTCAATAGAGGGCGCCAAACTGTAAAATATTCCTGCTTCATGGCACTGGTCCGTAAATGCAGTGGTCCAAAAACACCCAAATATTTTCATTGGCATTTTCAATTTGAGAAAACTCATTATTGGCAAAGTGTGCTTTTTTTTCATCCTTTTATTTTTCAAGCTCAGTGTGGAGAGATTTGTCGATTGTGCTCTATCTGATAAACTTAAAATAAAAGTTTTTTCATATAACAGATTTGTTTTATTACTCTGAGCAAAAAGTTGGGAAGAATATAGTACATCAAAGCACAACAGAAGACGTAAAATCATTATCATAATCGTACATACAGCGAAGGGTTCAAGTTATAAAAAGGATTCCAGTGGGTTTTTGTTAATTTACTGTAAATTGGATTTCATCAAATTAAATTTAAAGGTACTGTCGAAACGCTAAGTTGTTTAATACTCGAACCTTGGCAAAATCATGTTTGACTATGCTTAATTTACCTTCTTTAATTTTGTTCTTTTCTTTTAAAATTTACTTTTTCCTTTGTCTTTTCGCTTGAGTTTATGTTTTTGTTGAAGCTTTGTAAATTATTGTTTCCACGTTATGTCATTTTGTTGGTGATTTTTTTTCATCTTAGTTTATTTTTGTTGTTGAAGCTTTGTAAATAAATATTTCGATGTTTTTGTAAAGAATGCATCTATTTTTTGGATTTTGTTCTTTTCCCACCCTTTTTGGGGGGACACTTTCTGCTGTTTCTTTATCCATTCACACGTGTGGTGTTGGTCCTTTTTCTGTGCTTTTATTCCCTTCATGCTTTTCCTCCTTTCAGTATATTGACTTAGTATATTTGATTGCTTCCATCATTTGAAAGGAGAATACAAGTAGGAAGGTGTATTTTGGCAACGATATTAGTTTTTGTTGGTCCTGTGTAAGAATTAAGAAGACCCTCGTCATTTAGTCTACCTTAAAGATGCATGCCTTAGAAGGACTTTCTGCGTTGTTTGGAGAAAAGTCAATTTTTGGATAAAAATGTAAGGCATTTTTTTCAATTTTGGCCAAAAAAATGAAATTGCTTGAAAATTGCATGAAAGATGCCTAATGGACCCTAGAAGACATCCCAATTAGCCTTCTTAGCAGATGTTCTATTGGCTCAAAATCTTTCATAATTTTGGTGTTTGAATATTGTTTGATGCTCCTCTTGCATCCGGTGGAATTTCTGAGCTGTTTGGGGAAAAATCAATTTTTGGGTCAAATTTGATGAAAATGTAAGCTTAGTTAACCCCTTGCATTTTTTTCAATTTTGGCCAAAAAAGGAAATTGCTTGAAACTTGCAGGGAAGAAGTCTAATGGACCATAGAAGACATTCCACTTCAATTTGGGGACAGAGGCGCTTCTGAAAAGAAAATTTTGCCTTAAATTTGGGTCAATTTCAAAATCGGTTAAAATGTTAATGATTTTTTGCCAAAATCTTCAAATATTGGGGTGTTTGAATAGTGATTGATGCTACACTTGCCTCTGAAGGACTTTTTACATTGTTTGGAGAAAAGTAATTTTTTGGCCAAATTTTGCTAAAAATGTAAGGCTAACTAACCCCTTGCATTTTTTCAATTTTGGCACAAAATGAAATTGCTTGAAACTTGCAGGGAAGATGCCTAATTGACCTTAGAAGACATTACACTTCAATTTGGCATTTTTTTCAATTTTGGACAAAATATGAAATTGCTTTAAACTTGCAGGGAAGCTGCCTAATGGACCATAGAAGACATTCCACTGCAATTTGTGGACAGATGCGTTGTTCAAAAGAAAATATCTCCTACAATTTGGGTCAAAATCGGTAGAAAATGTGATCTTTTTTCCAAAAATATTAATGATTTTTTGGCCAAGATCTTCAAATTTGGGGGTGTTTGAATAGTGATTGATGCTCCTCTTGCCTCTGAAGGACTTTCTGCATTGTTTGGAGAAAAGTCCATTTTTGGCCAAATTTGGATAAAAATGTAAGGCTAACCCCTTGCATTTTTTTCAATTTTGGCCAAAATATTAAAATGCTTTAAACTAGCAGGGATGATGCCTAATGGACCATAGAAGACATTCCACTGCAATTCGTGGACAGATGTGTTTTTGAAAAAAAAACATGGCCTAAACTTTGGGTCAAAACCGATCGAAAATGTGTACTTTTTTCCTCAAATATTAATGATTTTTTGGCCAAAATCTTCAAATTTGGGGGTGTTTGAATAATGATTGATGCTCCTCTTGCCTCTGAAGGACTTTCTGCATTGTTTGGAGAAAAGTCCATTTTTGGCCAAATTTGGATAAAAATGTAAGGCTAACCCCTTGCATTTTTTTCAATTTTGGCCAAAATATGAAATTGCATTAAACTTGCAAGAAAGATGCCTAATGGACCATAGAAGACATTCCACTGCAATTCGTGGCCGGATGTGTTTTTGAAAAGTAAATATGGCCTAAAATTTGGGTCAAAACCGGTCGAAAATGTGAACTTTTTTCGTCAAATATTAATGATTTTTTGGCCAAAATCTTCAAATTTGGGGGTGTTTGAATAGTGATTGATGCTCCTCTTGCCTCTGAAGGACTTTCTGCATTGTTTGGAGAAAAGTCCATTTTTGGCCAAATTTGGATAAAAATGTAAGGCTAACCCCTTGCATTTTTTTCAATTTTGGCCAAAATATGCAATTGCTTTAAACTAGCAGTGAAGATGCCTAATGGACCATAGAAGACATACCACTGCAATTTGTGGACAGATGTGTTTTTGAAAAGGAAATATGGCCTAAAATTTGGGTCAAAATCGGTAGAAAATGTGATCTTTTTTCCTCAAATATTAATGATTTTTTGGCCAAAATTTTTAAATTTGGGGGTGTTTGAATAGTGATTGATGCTCCTCTTGCCTCTGAAGGACTTTCTGCATTGTTTGGAGAAAAGTCAATTTTTGGCCAAATTTGGATAAAAATGTAAGGCTAACCCCTTGCATTTTTTTCAATTTTGGCCAAAATATGAAATTGCTTTAAACTTGCAGGGAAGATGCCTAATGGACCATAGAAGACATTCCACTGCAATTCGTGGACAGATGTGTTTTTGAAAAGAAAATATGGCCTAAAATTTGGGTCAAAACCGGTCGAAAATGTGAACTTTTTTCCTCAAATATTAATGATTTTTTGGCTAAAATCTTTAAATTTGGGGGTGTTTGAATAGTGATTGATGCTCCTCTTGCCTCTGAAGGACTTTCTGCATTGTTTGGAGAAAAGTCAATATTTGGCCAAATTTGGATAAAAATGTAAGGCTAACCCCTTGCATTTTTTTTCAATTTTGGACAAAATATGAAATTGCTTTAAACTTGCAGGGAAGATGCCTAATGGACCATAGAAGACATTCCACTGCAATTCGTGGACAGATGCGTTTTTGAAAAGAAAATATCGCCTAAAATTTGGGTCAAAATTGGTCGAAAATGTGAACTTTTTCCCTAAAATATTAATGATTTTTTTTGCCTAAATCTTCAAATTTGGGGGTGTTTGAATAGTGATTGATGCTCCTCTTGCCTCTGAAGAACTTTCTGCATTGTTTGGAGAAAAGTCAAATTTTGGCCAAATTTGGATAAAAATGTAAGGCTAACCCCTTGCATTTTTTTCAATTTTGGCCAAAATATGAAATTGCTTTAAACTTGCAGGGAAGATGCCTAATGGACCATAGAAGACATTCCACTGCAATTCGTGGACAGATGCGTTTTTGAAAAGAAAATATGGCCTAAAATTTGGGTCAAAACCAGTCGAAAATAAGAACTTTTTCCCTAAAATATTAATGATTTTTTTGCCAAAATCTACAAGGTTGGGAGTGTTTGAATAGTGATTGATGCTACTCTTGCCTCTGAAGAACTTTCCGCATTGTTTGGAGAAAAGTCAATTTTTGGCCAAATTTGGATAAAAATGTAAGGCTAACCCCTTGCATTTTTTTCAATTTTGGCCAAAATATGAAATTGCTTTAAACTTGCAGAGAAGATGCCTAATGGACCATAGAAGACATTCCACTGCAATTTGTGGACAGATGTGTTTTTAAAAAGAAAATATCGCCTAAAATTTGGGTCGAAACCGATCGAAAATGTGATCTTTTTCCCTAACATATTAATGTTTTTTTTTGCCAAAATCTTCAAGGTTGGGAGTGTTTGAATAGTGATTGATGCTCCTCTTGCCTCTGAAGAACTTTCTGCATTGTTTGGAGAGAAGTCAATTTTTGGCCAAATTTGGATAAAAATGTAAGGCTAACCCCTTGCATTTTTTTCAATTTTGGCCAAAATATGAAATTGCTTTAAACTTGCAGGGAAGATGCCTAATGGACCATAGAAGACATTCCACTGCAATTCGTGGACAGATGTGTTTTTGAAAAGAAAATATGGCCTAAAATTTGGGTCAAAACCGGTCGAAAATGTGTACTTTTTTCCTCAAATATTAATGATTTTTTGGCCAAAATCTTCAAATTTGGGGGTGTTTGAATAGTGAATTTTTGGACAAAATTTGGATAAAAATGTAATGCTTACCCCTTGCATTTTTTTCAATTTTGGCCAAAATATGAAATTGCTTTAAACTTGCAGGGAAGATGCCTAATGGACCATAGAAGACATTCCACTGCAATTCGTGGACAGATGTGTTTTTGAAAAGAAAATATGGCCTAAAATTTGGGTCAAAACCGGTCAAAATGTGAACTTTTTTCCTCAAATATTAATGATTTTTTGGCCAAAATCTTCAAATTTGGGGGTGTTTGAATAATGATTGATGCTCCTCTTGCCTCTGAAGGACTTTTTGCATTGTTTGGAGAGAAGTCAATTTTTGGCCAAATTTGGATAAAAATGTAAGGCTAACCCCTTGCATTTTTTTCAGTTTTGGCCAAAATATGAAATTGCTTGAAACTTGCAGGGAAGATGCCTAATGGACCATAGAAGACATTCCACTTCAATTTGGGGACAGATGCGCTTTTGAAAAGAAAATTCTGCCTTAAATTTGGGTCAATTTCAAAACCGGTCGGAAAAGTGAACTTTTTCCTAAAATATTAATGATTTTTTGCCCAAATCTTCAAATTTGGGAGTGTTTGACAAGTGATTGATGCTCCTCTTGCCTCTGAAGGACCTTCTGCATTGTCTGGAGAAAAGTCAATTTTTGGCCAAATTTTAATGAAAATGTAAGGCTAACCCCCTGCATTTTTTTTCAATTTTGGCCAAAATATGAAATTGCTTTAAACTTGCAGGGAAGATGCCTAATGGACCATAGAAGACATTCCACTGCAGGTCGTGGACAGATGTGTTTTTGAAGAAATATCGCCTAAAATTTGGGTCAAAACCGGTCAAAATGTGAACTTTTTTCCTCAAATATTAATGATTTTTTTGCCAAAATCTTCAAATTTGGGGGTGTTTGAATAATGATTGATGCTCCTCTTGCCTCTGAAGGACTTTTTGCATTGTTTGGAGAGAAGTCAATTTTTGGCCAAATTTGGATAAAAATGTAAGGCTAACCCCTTGCATTTTTTTCAGTTTTGGCCAAAATATGAAATTGCTTGAAACTTGCAGGGAAGATGCCTAATGGACCATAGAAGACAATCCACTGCAATTAGTGGACAGATGTGTTTTTGAAAAGAAAATATGACCTAAAATTTGGGTCAAAACCGGTCGAAAATGTCAACTTTTTTCCTCAAATATTA